GGACTGTGTCACACTCACCAAGGGTACAGTGGATTTGGCCTTCCCATTGAGTCTGAGACAAACTAACCCAGGGTACAGTGCTTTGGCCTTCCCATTGAGTTTGAGACAAACTAACCCAGGGTACAGTGCTTTGGCCTTCCCATTGAGTTTGAGACAAACTAACCCAGGGTACAGTGCTTCGGCCTTCCCATTGAGTTTGAGACAAACTAACCCAGGGTACAGTGCTTTGGCCTTCCCATTGAGTTTGAGACAAACTAACCCACGGTACAGTGCTTTGGCCTTCCCATTGAGTTTGAGACAAACTAACCCAGGGTACAGTGCTTTGGCCTTCCCATTGAGTCTGAGACAAACTAACCCAGGGTACAGTGCTTTGGCCTTCCCATTGAGTTTGAGACAAACTAACCCAGGGTACAGTGCTTTGGCCTTCCCATTGAGTCTGAGACAAACTAACCCAGGGTACAGTGCTTTGGCCTTCCCATTGAGTCTGAGACAAACTAACCCAGTACACAGTGGATTTGGCCTTCCCATTGAGTCTGAGACAAACTAACCCAGTGTACAGTGCCTTTAGCCTTCCCATTGAGTCTGTGGCACACTCACCAAGGGTGCAGTGGATTTGGCCTTCCCATTGAGTCTGAGACAAACTAACCCAGTGTACAGTGCCTTTAGCCTTCCCATTGAGTCTGTGTCACACTCACCAAGGGTGCAGTGGATTTGGCCTTCCCATTGAGTCTGTGTCACAGTCACCAAGGGTGCAGTGGATTTGGTCTTCTCATTGAGTCTGAGACAAACTAACCCAGTGTACAGTGGATTTGGCCTTCCCATTGGGTCTGAGACAAACTAACCCAGTGTACAGTGGATTTGGCCTTCCCATTGAGTCTGAGACAAACTAACCCAGTGTACAGTGCCTTTAGCCTTCCCATTTAGTCTGTGTCACACTCACCAAGGGTGCAGTGGATTTGGTCTTCCCATTGAGTCTGAGATAAACTAACCCAGTGTACAGTGCCTTTAGCCTTCCCATTGAGTCTGTAGCACACTCACCAAGGGTGCAGTGGATTTGGCCTTCCCATTGAGTCTGAGACAAACTAACCCAGTGTACAGTGCCTTTAGCCTTTCCATTGAGTCTGTGTCACACTCACCAAGGGTACAGTGGATTTGGCCTTCCCATTGAGTCTGTGGTACACTCACCAAGGGTACAGTGGATTTGGCCTTCCCATTGAGTCTGTGGTACACTCACTCAGTGGATTATGTATGTATCAAATTTCATTGAAATCTACTGACACACATATACACAGAAAAGGTAACTGCACACAGGAATCAAATAGGTGCAAATGTAAAAATGTAAAAAAGTGTCTTTGTATCAAGTTTCAATGCATGTCAGAGAAATGGCCACATACGCATGCAAGGTGGATAAACATAACCAAAATTAATAGTCCGTTTATGGATTGAGATTGAAAATGACTGAATACACAAGTTCTGGAAAAAAAAACATCGCAATATCGCAATCATGCAAACAGCAACAACGACCAAACAAAAATATATAATTAATTATTGAAAAGATAACATTCTCAAAATGTCTACTAATACATACCCTGTAAAAGTAATTTATATTGTGGTATCCTCTGTATTGGTTTCAACATATGGTGTCTTAGCTGCAGTTTACCACACATCTCACTCCTCTGTAATTACATAAATGTTGAAATCATTCTAAACCCAAATCTAACCCAGTATATTATATTATCATGATTTTTGCATTAATTGCACCAATAACCAATAAGTATTTTTTTAAATGGATGAATTTTTTTTTTTTCATTTTTTTCATTATTGAGTACAATGTTGGTTTTGGTCAGTGAAACTGGAAAAGTGGAAAACCTGAAAAGAAATCACAGAAAACAATGCAACTAAATTTACATTATTGGAGGAAAATAAAAAAAAAAATTGTTTCAGCTAAAATAATTCAAATAATAGAGGTGTTCAACATACAGAATGAAATTGTGAGACAATCAAAACTGCATAAATATTTTGGTAACACATGCCAGCTGAAAGCCACCACATGCCAGCTGAAAGCCACCACATGCCAGATGAAAGCCACCACATGCCGGCTGAAAGCCACCACATGCCAGCAGAAAGCCATGACATGCCAGTGGAAAGCCGCGACATGCCAGCGGAAAGCCCCGACATGCCAGCGGAAAGCCACCACACACCAGCAGAAAGCTACCACACGCCAGCAGAAAGCCACCACATGTGAGTGGAAGCCACCACATGCCGGCAAAAAACATAGCCACCACACGCCAGCTAAAAGCCACCATATGCCAATTGAAATCCACCACACCCCAGCTGAAAGCCACCACATGCAAGCTGAAAGCCACCACATGCAAGCTAAAAGAAACCACACGCAAGCTAAAAGTCGCCATATGCAAGCTGAAAGCCACGGCATGCAAGCTGAAAGCCACCACATGCAAGCTGAAAGCCACCACATGCAAGCAAAAAGTGGCCACACGCCAGCTGAAAAGCCACCACACGCCAGCTGAAAGCCACCACATGCCAGCTGAAAGCCACCACAGGTGAGAAAAAAGTGGCATAAGCAGATGATGTGTTAAAGTAAATGATGAGAATAAATAATTATATATAATTGGTGCTCAGAACATGTTGAATTAGTGAACACAGTTTCAACTCATTGCAGTAGTTTAGGTCATAGAATCTAACATATTAATGTCAAAAGTAAAAAAAAAAAAGCCATGCATGGCACAGTCCCTGTTAGTTATTGAATTTAAGATATATAGTTTTGTTTATAGCAATATAGCTGGAATATAACCATGTCAGGAATATGATTATGATGATTGTTTAAAATTAAAATGATTGACATTTGTATCTGATCGTCAACTGAGTACTTGTCAACATTGAGAGATATTGCTCTGGAGCAGCATTAATTAAAACAAAATCAGCCATTTTGAATACATGCATATATCTATAACAGGATGAATATTTAAAATTTGAACATAATCAGTCAAAGCAAGATATGGTACGAGAACTAAATTCATTAAAACAAAATGGTTGCCAGTCGGCCATTTTGAATCTTATCTGTATTACCAAATTTGAACAAAATCCGTAAACAGCCTAGAAATGCTTAATTTTGATGATTTTACAGTACAAAAATGGCTGCCATTTGGTCATTTTGAATCTTATCTGTATTACAAAATTTGAACAAAATCCGTAAACAGCCTAGAAATGCTTAATTTTGATTATTTTACAGTACAAAAATGGTTGCCATTCGGCCATCTTGAATTAGATCGTGAAACAAATTGATGTCCATATGTATAATGTCATGTATTATGTATGTGTGAAGTTTGGTTGTGATTGGTTTAGGCATTTCTAAGATACAGGTCCTGACACACGCACGGACGGACACATTGATTATGATGATTTTTTAACATTAAAATGTTTGACATTCAGTTATCTTGTATCTGATCTTCAAACAAGTACTTGTCCATATTGATAGATATGGCCCTAGAACCACATTCATTAAAACAAAATGGCCGCCAGTCAGCCAATCTGAATTCAATCTGCAAAACAAAACGACGTGCATCAGGAAGGCATAATTTCCAATATATGTACCAAGGTTTAACAAAATCCATCCATAAACAACCAAGATTCGGTTTTGGATTTTTTATCACAAAAAATGGCCACCATTCAGCCATCGTGAATCATGAAAATTAATGTGCATATGTTTAATATTATGCATGATGTATGTGTGAAATTTGAATGTAATCGGTCCAGACATGTTTGAAATATAGGTCTGGAAGCATGCACACACAAACACATGCACAGATGTCAATCCATAAGTTCCTGTTTTCGGACTGAGCCAAACAGGAACTAAAAAGAAAACTGAAACTAGGAAGGAAGGAAGAAAAGGAGAGAAAGTGAGAGAGAGAAATGGGGGGGGGTGCAAGGTTGCTGAACATCGTTTCCATTACTATGCGCAAACATTTCATACATTGTAATGTTTATGCTGTATGTTTCAGTCCCCTATAACTAATAGGTATTTATCTGTTTACTGAGCAGTGCCACATTCTTTACCAAACATAATAAAATTTATATTAACCAAATTATTTACAATCTCTAAAGTCATTAAGCTTGTCCAGTCAATGTATACAAGAGTTGTGGAATCTTACCTCAAACTCTTTCACAACAGTAGCGAATTGTGGTGACTTCTTGCATTGTTCTTCCAAAGTTGAAGTCATTCTGTCAAATTCCTTGATGTATGTAGTTGAATATAACTTGAGGAAGGGACACAAACCTAGTATGATGTCAGATATCTTTGGGCATGTCTCCCTAGGTAGAAAAACATACTGAGGTTATGCTGAGTGTGTAAATTACCAAGTAAAAATCTCTAAGAAGAATTAATCCATCAAGAAACATTTTTATTTTATTACTACCACAAATTTCTATTGTTTAGATATTATATGGTTATTACGAGAATACGTCAAAGTATGCACAAAAACAGTACAGCTGGAATAGCTGAATGTGCGGCGTACTGTCTGAGTGTATACTTTGAGGTATTCTCGTAATAACCTTATTATTATACATCTTTTCTTTCCTAGGATACACCATGGGAATGCGGAAATCCAAAATGTTTAGAACAGAATCAGCGAACTTGTTTTTATGGAGTCCGGTTAAACTCTTGTGGCAACCATGTTTGTTTTTATGACTAGAGGACGGTTACTGTACATGCGCAATCATTCCATATTTGGAATTCGCATTTCTTAGTACGATAGGATGAAAAATACCCTGTAAAATACCACAAAATTACGGCATGCTGTAACTTATGGCGTTACGGTGACAGATGAATAATAATGTCTAAACTTTCAGAGGCTGGACCCTATCAATGCGGGGGAGTGAGTTACAAACATACACAACAGTCATTGCTCAATCATGCTTGTACTTACCGGTACCATGTGGTCAGATATGGTAATAATGATTTTATACATTATTGTGAAACCATTTTTAATTGAATGAGTCAAAAGAAATAGACATAAGACACACTGACCTCAAAGACAAATGTATCTGAGCATTGTCACATAGAAGGGTGACTTTGATTACCGTACATTAAACGCAAGAAGTCACATGAGTCATTGCCTGATATTGATAAACACGCAACACCAGCTTGTCAACAGATTCTTGCCAATACAATTTTATCAGCTCTGTCTTTGATAGAATATTAAGTTATTGTTTTAGTACATAACCAATCAAAACAAAATGTTGCATGCTGCTCAACAATTTCTGCTTTACTTTCTTGTCTTAATGGCAGTTGTTCAATAGCTTTGCCTGTATATTGGATCCATGATTGGTAATCTACCCTATTTCTTGGTGGTAATGAGCTAATAAAGACAAACTAGAAAAACTTTAGCTAGTTCATTGTTTAATTAGTTATTTTAAGTGTTTAATATCGACAATTGACAGCTTTCATGTCTGTCATTGGGTGTTTGCCTGGAGGACAGGTGTTAAAATTCGCCCAAGATGCATGCCCCCACATTGCTGGGCTATCCTGGTATATTCTGTATTCTGGCAGTTTTTCCAATTGAAAGTGTTCCCCTAAACATTGGCCAATGGCTTGATTATTACTCAACTGCCACTAAGAAAATAATTATACAGGTATATATATTTTGTAAATAAGACAAATTCATGATTTGATGAAAGAATGCTAATCTTTTTTTGTGATTTTCAAGGTGTTCTTTCCAGCAACATACATGAACATGTATGTTGTACATAGAATAGAACTTATCACTTAAGGTCAAACATTTTGGTACATATTAATGATCCTGTAGGTTTCACATCCTGGGACTTTTGGGGGTATATAAATTCACTGTGTATTGAAGTATAGAATGGTATGCTAAAAGCAGGATGCCTGACCTAGCTTGCACAGTTGATTACTGGAATATTACGTTTAGCTAAAAACAATTTTAGATCGGACAACTTATGTAATACATATATTTACCACTTTTCAATTCTATCCTGCAACTTTGACAATAAATCTTGGTTAATTTCTGTTAATTGTGGAAGGTAATACAAGATCTGATTCAAATCTTCTTGAGAGATGATTTTCTTGGATGCTCGACTGTTAGCTGCATTAACAGCGCTTCGAAAATGCTATTAAAATAAAAGAAAATATCAGTAGTAATAATTATTGCTGTATAAAACAAAGAATAATAACTACAAAACATATAGAACAATGACTGTAAGACAAGTACACTGTAAGTGGGAAAGCCATATAATTTTGGTATATAAACATTGTACAAAATTTATAAGGTTTAAAGTTATTTCAAAAAGTAAAAGAAAAAGTTACTAATCAGCAATTTAAATAATTCTAATTAACTTAAAAAATTATGAGTAAACAATTCATACAAAGGCAGCTTAGTGAAGAAATAACTACAATGACATTTTGGTGATGTCTCATAAATTGATGATATCTTTATTTTTGTGATATCCTATATTTTGGTGATATCCTGTATTTTGGTGATATCCCATATTCTGGTAATATCTTGTGTTCTAGTGAAATAACTCGTATTTAAAATTCATGAATTTATAACTAGTACATCAGGTTTCTTTCCTTTTATATTTCCTGTCTATATCATAATTCAAACAAAACTGTCAATAATAGTGATAAGACTGGGTTAACAGTACGTCTGACCTTTGTCTTCATGCATGTTGATTTTTATTTTGTAACTGATATTGTTTTCACAGATTAATCAACCCAACACAGGCTACATATAGTTGAAAATTTAATGCATACAAATGTACAATGTAGAATTTAATATAATAATTTATATTTATTATTTGACCCAGATTGATTATGTCTGCAAACTTAACCATAATAAATCAAAATGTATTTATTATTGTAACTGACACAGAAATATGATACCACAGCTATAATAGTATCCATCTTACAATTTATGTCACCTTGCACAAAGTATACTGTAGTCTTGTTTTTATGCTCTAACTATCAAATAATGATGAACCAAAGAAAGCTTAAACACAACTTTTATGTGCTGAGGTTATTGAAGGCACATTACATGTATGTAGATAAGGCAATTCATATTTAAAATTAAATACAAATTTAGGATTAGCCTTTGAAAACATGAAGTCTTTTTATGGTTGTGTCATTCGACAATAACACTTGCAGAATTTTGGTTATTTTACTCAGTTATGAACTCACCCCCCCCCCCAATTCATTTTATTGTGTTTCATAAGCTTCCTCAGTAACTGCATTGCAGCCTCCACTGCAATTTATTTGACTACAATTACACTTCCATCATTTGGACACTGCAGTTACAGATGCACTTAACTATATGGCAACAATTATGTGG